ACCCTATGAAGGCTTTCAAGGTAACTGAGATATTTAGCTTTACCGGTTCCACTCCCTCAGTGAGTTTCCATGGCCAAGTGGGGATTCAAACCCAGTTCTCCAGTATCCTACCCCGTCACTCTATCCACTACACCACGTTAGGAATCTAGGAATATATAAAAAGGGAGAGAAGGGGTGATGTAATGGATACCAGAAAACACTCCCTTCCCCTGGTTTGCTTCCTTTCTTTAAAACAAAAATTATGAAGAGTGCCAGCCTTCCGTTGGCCTGACACCAGTCGACGGTCCATTGGGGGCCACCATCTTTGATCCTTCCCAGAGATGGCAACTTCTGGTGCTGGGAGGTGGGAACGAAGATGAAGGACAAAAGGGTTCGCATCTGGAGTTGGGTCTCAACATTAACCTTAGGATGTGACTCCTGATGAATCCTGGGCTCTCCTAGATCTTCCCTTACCGAGCAACAGAGCAGGAGGCGAAACAAGTCAGTGGGCATGGACGGTGGGGCAGGCCGTTGGCCTTGGCTGGCTCCAGGGGCCTCCAGGCCCCACCGACTGTGCCAAAGGGCCACCCTCTCTGTTTAACATTTGGATGTCTAACAATCCCCAAAAAAGGAAGTGCAATTCGGCATGATGTACAATGAGATTTGTGAGTCTTAGCCTCTGGGGAGAAGCTAGAGGCTGTGCCCCAACCTGCGTTGTGGTGGCTTCGCTGAGTATATTTCCAGAAACATAAATGAAAGAGAGAGAGAAATACAATGAGTGACTGGTTGTATTTGTGATGCTGTGTATACCTCTGGCTTGCTATCGCCCTCTCTTGTTGGGCGGTTTGTTTGCCAGCATGGATTTCCCGGGGAGCTGCAGACAACGGTCGGCTCTGAATGACCTCCTTGGGAGTGATCCTCCCACAACTGGCTTGTCTTTAAACCTTTCTCTCGGTTATTTCAGGAAGCTGTGACATTCCTGAGGCGACATAAGCTGGAAGCATACTTGCTACAGACAGGAGCAGCTGGCCTGGGCTTCCTGTACACGGAGCCGGTAAGGATAGAATTCTGCAGGGCCACCAAGGAAGCGTGGGGTGATGTTTGGGACCCGGTGCTTGTGTGGCCAAAGTGACCAGGGTGGGGTGCGGCTCAAGAAATCCGTGTTGAATGTTTAGCATTGAGCTTTGAATCAAAAAATCATGGAATTGTAAAGTTGGAAGGATCCTCAAGGAAAAGAAATCTACAGGAAAAGCTCCCCTAACTGATCATGGTCTAATTTATGTTTAGTTGTTGTTTAGTCATGTCCGACTCTTCGTGACCCCATGGACCAGAGCATGCCAGACCCTCCGGTCTCTCCACTGCCTCCCAGAGTTGGGTCAAAGTCATGTTGGTCGCTTTGATGGCACTGTCCATCCATCTCGATGTTATGTTTAGTACCTTTCCGTAAAGAAGGACTGGCCTTTTCAGCAAATCTATAAAGGAAATGGATGCATTCATATTAAGCTGTCAAGAGGACATTAAAAAGCAATAATTTCCTACATTAACTCTTTTTGTATTGGTTTTACATTTCAAAAGTATTAAAACCACCAAAAAGTAGCCCAAAGGATCCCAAGCCCACAGATATTCCCTTGTGCCAAATAGCCAAGTCAATTAATGGAACATGTTAATGGTTATTCCAGATTTGAATGTCGGTGGTGAGGGTGTTAAAATCCTCATTGTGACAAATTAGGAGTCATCAATTAGCTGCGTCCAAGTTTCATTGCAGCCTCCATGAGAAACAAAGGTTTTTTAGGACTGGCTGTGTAGCCAAGAATCATGATAGAATCACAGAATCATCAAAGGGCTGGAAGGGACCTCGGAGGTCTTCCAGTCCGATGGCAGGAGACTTCATACCATCCTGGACGGATGGCTGCCCAATCATTTGTTGAAAACCTCCAGCGATGGGGACCCCCCCCCCTCGGGAGGCAAGCCGTTCCACAGCTTCATGCTTCTCACCGTCTGGAAATTCCTCCTTATTTCCAGGTTGGATCTCCTCTGACCGATGGTTTCCACCCATCGGTTCTTGTCCCACCCTCGGGTGCCACGGAGAATCAATCGATGCCCTCTTCTCTGGGGCAACCCTTCAGATCTTGGAAGACGGCTCTCATGTCTCCCCTCAGTCGCCTCTTCGTTAAGCTCAACATACCTCGTTCTTTTAGAAAGCTGGGCTGAGCCCAGGTCCATGGAGTACAATATTCTCTTTGCAAACATGATCCAGCCAAATGCCTCCAGAAGCTCATAATCAGGGCATGGTGGTTGATGAAAGTCCTTCGTTTTTAGCCATCCTTTGTTTCTGAAGACGGACATCCCACTGGCCTGCAGTGGCTGTCGGGAGACCTCCTTCCAGAACATCCTCTTGTCCCTGTTTATCGAACTGCTGACTTGGTGTGTCCTTCTGAAGCAAATTGGGGCAACTGAAAAGGAAAAGAAATTACCTTACTGCAAGACAACAACCAGATAAAGATTTTTTCACACCTCCAAGGCTAGGTTTTTCACGTTTCGCTTGTCACATGGACATTAACTCTGGCCTTGAATTCGATGGAATAGCTAATACCCTGGAAGACAGAAACAAAACTCAGAAAAATCTTGATTTGCTTGAGCACTGGGCTGAAACAACAGCATGGAATTTAACAAGGACGAATACAAAGTTCTACAACCGGGGGGGGGGAGAGACAGCCCAAATGTATAGTTACAAGATGGGGGATACTTGTCTCAGTACTACTACATGGAAGAAGGATCTTGGAATTGTTGTAGATCACAAGCTGAATATGAGCCAACAGTGTGATGTGCTTTGAGAAAAGAAGAGTATGCTGCATTAATAGAAGTCTTGTCTCCAAATCCCATGGGGTGCCAGTCCCCCTCTAATTCAGCCCTGGTTAGGCCTCACCTTGTGTCCAGTTCTGAGCACCACACTTCAAGAAGGATGCTAACAAATTGAAACAAGTTTCAGAAGACGGCGACAAGGAGGATCAAGGGATTGGAAACCAAGCCTTATAAGGAAAGGCTGAAAGAACTGGGCAGGTTTAGCCTTGAGAAAAGAAGACGGAGGGGTGATATGATAGCACTTTTCAAATCCTTGAATGGCTGTCCTACGGGGGGGGGGCAGGATCTGTTCTCGATAATCCCAGAGTGCAGGGCATATGTGATGTGCCCCTAATGTGTCCCCAGATTATTTCAGTAGCCTGAGGTCCACGACACATTCCCTCCTTTATGCTGCCACCAGTTGACCTCTGTCAATGCCCTTTAATTTGAAAGACAGGTCCGTGCTGAGTATAAAGTTGAACGAAACAGGTCTATTGGTTACAGTTCGCTTAAACAGGTTCTTCACAGACTAAAGTATTTGATAGTTTAGTAATAACCTGTTTCACTCTTAACTCTATAAGTTCCACACTCTTAACTGCCTCCCTTAACTCCTGACTATACCACACTCTCTAATTCCCACAGACTAACTTCTAGTTCAGACTCTCCTCTCTGACTCTAACAGACTGACTAAACTCCTCCTATCTGACTCACCTTTCCCTTCTTGTTTCTCTGGCTTTGCTCCCAACAGCTCCTATTGGTTCATGCCAGTAACCTCCTACATGAACCAAAGCAGGGTGATTGCCACAGCATGTAAGAATGGGCTCAAGCGCCAGAAAGACAGATTTAGGCTGAAGATCAGGAAAAACTTCTTAACTGTTGGAGCAGTACGACAACGGAACCCATGACCTCGGGAGGTGCTGAGCGCTCCTCCAGGCCTTCAAGAGAAAATTGGGCAACTGTCTATCAGATCTGCTTTGATTTGGGTTCGTGCACAGAGCAGGGCGTTGGACTCGATGGCCTTAGAGGCCCCCTTCCAACTCCATGATTCTATGACGTTTTGACCCATAAGAGTAATAGGACTCGATGGGTTGCTTTCATCTCTTCGATCAATCAAGCCATTTCTTCTGTGCTTGGAGTTTTGCATGCGTGCTTCGCTTTACAGACTATCGTTTTGTACAAATTGCAAAAGTCAACTTGGGTCAGCGGGAACACTGCTGGATCTGAGATTTATTTTATTTTATTTTTATTTTTTGCCGTGGCTAGAGATTCGTCTGCAAGCTGTTCTGTCATGTTCAGGTAGCCTGTCTTGATCAAAATCTCAGTCAAAGAGAACTTTTTCCTCATAGGCTTGTTCCTTTTAAGCGTCCTTTAATTCGCTGGAGCCATGTTTTATAACCAACTGCCCTCTCTTCTTCATTTCAGAATTATTGGACCGTCTCCGGGGCTCGGCAAGATGAACACAGGTAAGCTTCCCCACGCAAAGCAGTTCTTGAGTGCTGCTGCTCAAAAATGTTCCTTTCTAAGGCAGGAGTATGTGAAGGAAAAAAACAGGGGCTTGGGAGGGACCTGTACCCTTCAAAATAAACCATGTGGCCCAGAATTTCTTTCATTAATTATAAGGATCAAACTAGACAATGGTGATGAGCATGTATTTTGAAGAAGTGTTCTCTCAAGTGGGAAAGATGTTGTTCTGTCACAGCATACTATTTTTCTTACCAATACATTTTGCATTCATGACATATTGTTTTGTGATCAGTCTTTGGAAGGTAAAGCCAGGTTTAATCTGGATGTCTGACTGTGCTGGAAATCACATTTGTAGGAAGACAAACACATTAGTCCCAGGAAAGACACACTCCCCTTAATACCTAGCCTTTCCTCTTTGGCCGATATCCTAGTGGTTCCTAGCTGTCCTCAAATCAGTCCATTCCGCACCCACTTTCTCTTTGGGCATCATCTGTGCACGTGGGAACTTGCAAAACCCTTGTCCAGACAGAAATTGGGGCAACCTCTAGCTTGTTCAAATGCACCCGAGATTGCCAGCCATCATTCTGAGTCTGGTTTATGGAAGGAGCGAGAGTCTCTTGGCAGAGTATGGAAATTGTTAGCTTAAAGTCCATAGTAGAAAAAAGGTTCAGGGACTAACAGAGCAGAATTAGCTCCAAGGCTTCCCACAGTAGACCATCCATCTCTTATTGCTCTCATCAGGTGGCACTTACAGTCTCAGTCACTCACTCCGAGACAGTGGTAGGAGAAAGAGTAAAAAGTTCTATTTACTCACAGTTCTGAATACATAAAAAACAGCCTATTGTAGAAAAATAATGACTGGTTACAGAAACAGAGCTTAACTGAGTCATAACTGCATTCTAACTAACTCTTAACTGCCCACAGACTGAAAAAGAGTGGGGGAAATATTGTTAAGGAGAAAGGCGTGGCTGTCCCCAGAAGGTGAGGCAGAGAGTAAAATAAAACTGTGATCAGTTTTAAAATAAAACAATTTTATTCTTTCTCCCGTTGGTCACTGCTGGAGTGTGACTGACAGCTACCTGAGTCCTCTCAGCCAAAACCTCTGAAAGGCAGCAGATGACGTTTGCGATCATTCCAGCAAATTCTGCCCCCATGAGCAGAGCTGTTTCTTTGCTGTTTTTGGCCCCTGGGGCCACCAGCACCCTCTCCCACCGACTCTGTTGTGTGAATTTTGTAGGGATTCATACCTACAAGACACCGTCTCTGTTCTGTAGGTATGAATCCCTACAAAAGCAAGAGAAAAGCTCTCACGCCTTCATCAGCCTGGGAAGCCTGGCTGTTTATTTTCCTGGCGCTCACCAGTAGGATCACCTCTAGATTCCAGTGTCCTCTTCAATTTCGGTGCCCTGGGGTTGCCTGATTCTACATGTCACCCCACCTGTCCCTGTTCAAAGGAGGTGCCGTGGTGATTTCCCCCCCTTTCGGCACACATAAACACGTACAAAAATTTTGGATGGCTTTTGCTCCACAGAATCCCGTCGGGAGTTTTGGGTGATGCAACCGACAACTCCGAGAAGCTGATAGGAAAAAAGACCTCCGTCAGAGTAGACCGGGAACTAAGGGAAGGTAAGCATCTCTCAAAAGGCCTGGAGTCTCCCAAGGAGAGAAGGGGGAGTTTTCTGTAGGAATAGCACCAGGAGAAGGAGGAGGAGGAGAAATCACCTTAAGGTAACTTGAGACCCTCCTTTCCACATGAAATGTGCCTGGACTGAAGAGGCAGAGATGCCAGATGCATTTAGCTGGGATGTGGAAGAAGGATTGAAATCTGCGTGTGAGCTGCGAGGGGGCGTGGCCTGGCAGAAGGGGATGACAGAGGATGAGATGGATGGACAGTGTCATCGAAGCGGCCAACGTGAATTGGAGGCCATGGAAGGCAGGAGGGCCTGGCGTGCCCTGGTCCATGGGGTCACGAAGAGTTGGACACGACCTAACGACTAAACAACAACAAAAGATTTTCCTTGGTTCAACTTAACACGTTATCCAACCTAAGGACTCCGGAAATTACATTTTCCAGTGACCGCTTCCAGAACCACTACAGTCACAGTCGACGTGGCTACCCTGAGAGTTACTGTCCAATAAATAATGCAAGTTCTTGCTGTCTTGTAAAGGATGCTTTCCCCGCCATCCACGGCTAGTCCTACAACTCCCATCACTCCCAGCCTGTTTGCTGAGATGGTAGGAGTTGTAGTTGGAGAAAGAAAGTCCTGGGGGGGTTTGTCGGGAGGTGGCTGTACACAGAATTTTATAGATTTCGTTCCTATACAGTCAAACCCTTCTCTGCAGGCCCAAACTGGAAAGCCACAGACTAAAGGTTGTTCTCTGGCTTAGGGCAGGGAAAAAATGAATCCTCTTTAATTGAAATGTTCCATAGGGTCACTGTTTAGACAGATGCTTTTCTCCTTGATTCCACCCCTGCCTTTCTTTAGGAAGAAAATCCTTTGCTGTTTTGTAAGCTTAGCAAAATTTCACACAGGATAAAGTTGTTGCACCTTCTTCACATCTGGTTTGGTTCGTGTTTGCTCCGTCCCAGGGCATGGGGCTCGCCGATCTCGAAGGCCCGGCTTTTCTCTCCCTCTCTCAAATTTATTTACGTTTTTTGAGGAGGGGGTTGTTATTCCTTGTCAGACTAAGCTGGGGAAAAGAAGCAGGCCCTTCTCCCCATGCCAGAGGGGGAAAAAAACAGGCTTTAAACCAGTTCTGTGGCAAAGAGGGAAATAATTATACCCCCACAAGGTTTCATAGGACACGTGGCTGGGTTGCTAGATTACATATTACAAAGAATCCATCCAATCTTCAAAAACAAATAAAATGGAATAAAATTTTAATAGGCCTCTACTGACCATGGATTCCAACAGTGGTCAGAAAAACATGGGGCTGGTTTCGTTCCGGAGGCAGGCCTGTTATTATCTACAGCAATTTGGAGGGTGCTTGGCTGTCCTGAAATCTGCCTTAGGTCTTCGCCAATCCTGCCTGGACTCGCAAACAGCTTTTTCCAAAACCATCGCTGCTGCTTGAATAGTTTTACTATAACAGAAGGTTTCTCCTTTATGTTGAGATTGTTCGTTGTTGTTTAGTTGCTTAGTCGTGTCCGACTCTTCGTGACCCCATGGACCAGAGCACGCCAGGCCCTCCTGTCTTCCACTGCCTCCCACAGTTGGGTCAAATTCATGTTGGTCGCTTCGATGACCCTGTCCAACCATCTCGTCCTCTGTCGTCCCCTTCTCCTCTTGCCCTCACACTTTCCCAACATCAGGGTCTTTTCCAGGGAGTCTTCTCTTCTCATGAGATGGCCAAAGTATTGGAGCCTCAGCTTCAGGATCTGTCCTTCCAGGGAGCACTCAGGGTTGATTTCCTTTAGAATGGATAGGTTTGTTCTCCTTGCAGTCCAGGGGACTCTCAAGAGTTGAGAATGTTAGAACTTGGTAAATTGTTTTATTAATCTACAGGTCCTAACCTCCCAGGGGATTTGATGGCGGCTGTCACAAACCTTAATTTTTCAAAACTCTGGAGATGCTGTCCTGTGTCAGTAAGGACTTTTGCTTAGCTGGTAGCAATTTCCAGGATTTCGTAAGGCATTAGAAACAGCCCATCATTAGAAGACTGTTAAGGACAGGTTGTGTGTGTCACAGTGGAGTTCCTTTTGCCTCCCTGAAAATCTGAGTGTGCAAATTCACGTGCTTTGTGTGTGATTGGTCTACTGGACTTGAGTAGGGAACTTTGATTTCCCAAACATGAAAGACTGCCTGAATCAAGTCTCTCCAACACTAGTGCATCTTTATTTCTCCCCCCCCCCTTCCTCCCCTCTTATAAACATGGCAAAAGATAGCAGAACCTCTTAGGGAGATCTGATCAATAAGATAAACTCCCTCACTCTCCAGCCTCCCCATTGCCAATTCTGAACAAATCCGAACGTGGGTTGGGTTGAAGAAACTCTCCTTGCTGGGAGAGTCGGGCACCTCAATCATGAAGGCAGGAGATCCAAATTCTACACCGTTAAATGGCCGGTGATGTTTTCGAGGAGATTCCATTTCAGGATTTACACAATGCTCTTTTCTCCCACTTTGGCATCCGGAGCCAGCTAGAGCCTTTTTGTCAATCCGTGGCGTCTGAGCCCTCGATTTCCTTGAAGCCCCCCTGAGGTTGGTGTGAAGCCACTCTCCAACAGCAAGCAGATTTAGCACGACGCAGTCAAAATTCCTGTTGTTTCAGCATTGCAAAAATTAACAAATCTAAACAAGAAAAATGCTGAATGCCCAAGAATCAGGGACGGCCGAAGTCCATAAAGACTGGCTAGAACCATTGCCCCTTTTTGAAACGCTACAATGCGAACTCCCCTGGGCAGGCTGAGGGGTTCAGATTTTGTGCCGACTGAAAGGGCATTGAAGTGTTGGTGGTGCATATGGAGGTTCTGAATGGCCCACATCCTGCCACGTGGCTCTGCCTGGAGCACGGGTCGGGCATCCCCAGCGGCCGCCGACTGCTGCCCATTGAAGAGTTTCTTTTCTGAGTTCAGGGTGTGCAGCTCGCACGCCATGATCCGAAGCTGCTGGGAGAAGCTAAGCAGGGTCATGTTGTCCCTTTAGGCTTTGCAGAAGGGGAAGGTTAGAGGAGGAGGCAAGATTGGGGAGTTTGATTCCCTGCCGGGCCTCCTCGAAAGGGGTTGGACTTGATGATCCCCAGGGGGTCCCTTCCAGCTCTGCCGTTCTTAGTAGGTGTGACTGCTTATCCATGGGTCAGCACCAACAACCTGGGGCGCCTTTGAAAGGGGATGAGACCAAGGCATGAAAACGGAGGCCGCTGGTGGCCGCCAGCGGTGCTGGGCAGGTATTCATGGCAGTGATGGGGGAACCACTCGCGTCCTACTCATGGGCTTACCGGAGAGGAGGGAGAGGCCCTTCCTCAAGGGGGCAGGAGCCTTACGGCAAAGTGGTTAAGCTGCAGCACTGCAGCCAAAACTCCGCTCACAACCCGGGTTCAATCCCAGGTAGATTGCTCGTTCAGCTTTCCATCCTTCCGAGGTTGGTAGATTGAGTGTTGCTCATTCAGCTTTCCATCCTCCCGAGGTAAGTAGATTGAGTGCCCAGCTCATTGGTGGCTGTTTTTGGACAAGCCAAGTGTGTAGCTGGCAGGACCAAATGGTCATCCACCCAGAGAGGGCTTTAAGCGCTAGAGAGCGATCCCTAACCAGCAGCAGACTTTGCTTCGCTTCTGGTATTAGACGCTCTTCTGTCCATGGTGAGCCTTTCCAGTTTGGTCCTGGAAGCTTGAAGCCGTCTTGGGTTGACCCCATGGAGAGCCTTGGCAACCGGTCTGCATGGGCAAGAGGGAGCTGATTGGGCCACGAGCCAACTCAGCCTACGACCGCTCTCCCTGTGTGCGTCTTTGGTCTGATTCGGTTCCCTCTCTCTTTGCTTCTCTCTCTCTCTCTCTCTCTCTCTCTGTCCTTGGTTTCCAGGAGGCCCCCTCCTCTTTAGCGAGGTGAAATTTGTCTACAACTCGGAGCAGCTGAATGGGACCCAGCGGGTGCTTCTGGACAACGTCATCTCTGAGGAAGAGTGCCGGGAGCTGCACCGGGTTGCTAATGTGAGCATTGAGGACTCGGGATCACTGAGTGCACCACAGGATCGGCAGGGGCTGATGGGGGGTGGGCCCACGTTCCTGATGGGGACAAAACCAGGGGAGCTGTGGTGGGCGTGTCAGGCGTTCCAGCGTGCCTACTGTGGGGAGGTCTGTTTTAGGGTTGGCCTGCTCTCTTGGAGGCGGCTGGAGGTAATGGAGGAAACGGGTCTCGTTCGGGGGAACGGCTGTGGGCCTGGATTTCACCCTGAGGTGCCGTAGACTTTCTGGGCAGCTGCAACGTTAGAAAACTCAGACTTGCCTCTTATGAGGCTGTAATTCCCCACCGCGACTCCAACGCTGTACCTGTCGTGTCTCAGCAGCCGACGGGCAGTCGGTTCTCTTCTCAACGCTGCAAAAGAGTTTTAGATTGTAGATTAGGTGGAGGAAATCAATGGACGGCCATCCTGGATCCCTTTTCCTGTTTTGCGAGATAGTATTCTAGTTTCTCGTGATATATTGGATCACCAGGGACTAGGATCTGATCTCCATCCCAGAGTGCAGGATACATCATAATACTAAAGCTCCATGAAGCCGGATTTCAGTTGAATATCAAGAAAATCTTCCTCACTGTTAGAGCAGTACGACAGTGGAACCCATGACCTCAAGAGGAGGTGAGCGCTCCAACACTGGAGGCCTTCAAGAGGAAATTTAGACAACCACCTGGGAGTTCTCCTTTGATCTGTATTCCTGCATTGAACAGAAGTTGATGACCTTATAGGCCCCTTCCAACTTCACTATCCTATGATTCTATGATGACATTTAAGACTCTGAAGCACTGAATGGGTTGTCTGTGTCTTTCTTAAGAATCAGGCTCTTCTGCCCCCCCCACAGACACATTACCACCACCTCTGTGATCTTGGACCCAATGGCCTTATTGGCCCTCCTCCCAACTCCATTAGTCTATGATTCTGAGATGCCGTCCTCTGGTGTAGCTCCTGCTGCTTGATAGCTAGGATTTGGTGTTCACAATGCCCCAAAAGACACAGGGCTCGGTGTGTTAGCGCCAAACAGGTTCTAGAACTCAATACCTGACCTGTCTTCCTTCCGTTTCAGGGCATTTTGCTGGCTGGTGACGGATACCGGGGAAAGACGTCCCCCCACACCCCCAATGAGAAGTTTGAAGGGGCCACTGTCCTCAAAGCTCTTAAGGTAAGACGTTTGGTCTCGCCTTTCCTGGGACTTCCGTGTCCCCATTTTAACTTTTGGTTCATGCCAATTGCTGCACCGCTGGAGGAGAGCAAAGATCTGGCGGCACCCTCCCGCCACCTTGAACCCGATCGCTCCTCTCACCTGATTTTGGAAGCTAAGCAGGGTCAGGTCTGGTAAGCACTTGGAGGGGGGGGACACCGACACCCACACACACACCCGCCAGGGAATACAAGGGATCTCCCCGTGGAGGCAGACAGGGCCTCAGGCACGGAGGACCATGGCTGCCATTCAGAGTTGGCAAACCAAGGCTCGTTGAGTCGTGGGTCTAACGTGGGAAAAGGCCACTTCTTGTGTGCCTCATGTCCAGACTGCATGGGGCTGAGCAGAACTGAGAACCTGAGAACAGCCGTCCTGAGTCAGACCGAAGGCTTCAAGGATTCTGCTCCCCCCCCCCACTTAGAAGACTCAATCCTCATCAGATTGTTTAGAAAGACAAGAAAGAGAGTAAGGGGTTTGAGAGCTGGAGGTCATCGTCCCCAGCTGAGCCACAGGCTCAGTAGCTGTCTTGGACCACTTCCTCTTTCTCAGCCTGGCCGACCACTGTGGGTACAGTGGTGCCTCGCATTGCGATGTTAATTCGTTCCAGCGAAATCGCTGTAGAACGAAAACATCGTAAAGCGAAATTTAAAAGCCCATAGAAATGTATTAAAACCTGCTTAAAACTCACTGTCCAGGGAACATCCTCCATAGGGCGGCCATTTTCGTTGCCTGTCCTATGAGGAATCTGTCCCTAAACAAAGCAGGGAGCCATTTTATTTACCTGGCGGCCATTTTGAAACCTCCGATCAGCTGTTGGAAAATCGTCGTTTTGCAAAGAATAGGTTCCCGAAGCAGGGAACCGATCATCGCAAAGCGAAATTCCCCCATAGGAAACATTGTTTTACAATCACAAAAAGCGATCGCAAAAAGTTCATCATAATGCGATTTCGTCGTTAAACGAAGCGATCGTAATGCGAGGCACCACTGTACTTGTGAAAGTAAGGAGAAGCATGACATGGCTTTTGTCTTGAATTAGTTGGGATAAAAATTTAAATTTTAGAAATAGCAATTCATTCTTTTTACTTCTTTAAGTTCATTCTTTAAATGGTAGCATCCTGATACAGTAGGACCCTTGTATCTGCGGGGGCCCAGTTCCAATTCCCACACACACACACATGGATGATGGAAAGCCGGAATTAGAGCAAAGAGAATTTTAATAGGAATACTGTGGTCTCTTGCTCCTTCTAGTGGCCAGTTCTGGTAACTTCATCTTTAGAAATATGTATTTCTAGGATTTTTTCTTTTAATATTTTCAGTGCCTGGATAAGTGAATCGGCAGAGACTGATCTCACAGATAAGGGATTCCTACTGTACTATCTCTTCCTTCTCAACAGTACAGTTTGGGTAGTAATCTAAGCAGCTCTTACAACCTAGGAGTTTGCTTCTAGAAAATGCGCTGGTCTTCCCCGTTCAGCACTCTGGGAGAAATGCTTTTACCTTCTCCTCATTTATCCTGCCTTCTTGAGAACAACCATTTAGCAACACTTCTGTCCCACAATGAGGATGATGGCACAACCCCCTGCCTACAAGCTAATGCATGAAGAGTCTCTCATGTGGAATAGGAGGTGACCCAAAAAGGCTGAAACCCCCTTTCTTGTCTGGGGCAGGCCAGCTCTCACCCTGACCCAGTCTCTTGTTGGTTGGATGGGAAATGATCAGAAATCGTTCAAAGGTGCTGATTTGGTTGGCTTCCAGTTCGGCTACGAGGGACGTGTCCCGCTGAAGAGCGCCCGCCTCTTCTACGACGTCAGTGAGAAAGCCCGCAAGATTGTGCAGTCCTACTTCATGCTCAATTCCACCCTCTATTTCTCCTACACGCACCTGGTGTGCCGGACTGCCCTCTCAGGTAAGGCTGACATGAGGCGACAGTCCCGGGTAGGAGCGCCCCTTCGCCCCCTCCTCGTGGCGTTAGAATGAGGCCAGACGTCTCTCGCCTGGCTTGGCCTTTGCGTCACTCCCACCAACAATGCCATTTCCCCCTCTTCTTCCTCGGCTTTCTGTGCAGAGATGGCCACACAACATGTCTCTGACATGTTAAGGTTGTGTAGTTCCCTGCATGACTGGCAGCCTGAGTGGGGTTTTTAACTGGATGGTTGTGCCTTTACTGCGTTGAATGGGGTTTTGGGGTTGCTTTGGTTTATTGCTTTTTAAGTGTGGCTTTTCTTTGATTCTTTTAAATGTTGGTTTACATTGTTTTTAGCCTTTAAATATTGTTTTTTAATGATGTAAGTCAGCTTGGGTCCTTCTCAAGGGGAAAGACAGGGTAAAAAGGTATTCAATGGGATGGATGGATGGATGGATGGATGGATGGATGGATGGATGGATGGATGGATGGATGGATGGATGGATGGATGGATGGATGGATGGATGGATGGATGGATGGATGGATGGATGGATGGATGGATGGAGAAGAGAGAGAGATGGATGGATGGATTGACTGAGATAGAGAGAATAAAGGATGGATGGACTGAGAGATTGGATGGATGGATGGACAGACGGACGGACGGACTGAGAGATAGAATGGATGGATGGAAGAATGGAAGGATTCTATCTGAAAGAAAACTAGCATACCTCCCCTTTCACCACTGCATGGCGCTTCAGCCAGGGCCCTGAAGTTTAGACATAAAATGCACTGCTGGAAAGGTGTAAAGCCACCTCTGGGTATTTTCTGCTGGAAGGCTGTGTGCGAATCCACTCCTCCCCCTGAGCGTGTTTACAACCTCTGGCCATTCCTCCCTGGGCAAAGAGGGAACCAGTAAGGCCCCAGGGGCTCTTCCTCATTCCTTCCCAACCCGATGGCAGTCTCAGGTGACTGAAGCTTAACCCATAAGGCAGCAAAGCCCCAAATGCAAAGCTCCCCACTACGGATGTGCTAAAACACATCATTTCGCTGCTAGAATGGCACCACCATCTGCCAATAAACAAATGCGTTAAGGGTCCCCTTAGGGAACGAGAGGCTGAAAGCCCCCTTTCTTGTCCTGTGCAGGCCAACAGGAGCGAAGGAATGACCTCAGCCACCCCATCCATGCTGACAATTGCCTCCTGGACCCCGAAGCCAACGAATGTTGGAAAGAACCCCCAGCATACACCTTCCGAGATTACAGGTAGGTCTCGCACCCTGGAGGACGCGGAGACCTTGCCCAGTTTCTGCCTTTGTGCAAAGTCCTTAGGTCCGGAAGCATAGGGACATTGCATCGTCTCAGCTGCGGAACGCACCTCACACCTCCGCAAGGACCCTGCTTGTCTCAGCTCTGGCTAGGCACAGAGCTTGCAAAAACTAGATTTTTTTGGATGGCCAAACCTTGAGCTGAACAAACTCTGAACAAGTCTGGAAAAAATGTGAAGGCCTAGAGTTTTCTACAGACATTTCCCTGAAGTGTCCTTTCCTGCAACAAGCAGATGCTGTCCGTTGCATGTCATGTGACCCTAACCTGGATGAAGCTACAAGACACAAAGGAACTAAAAGGCTGCAGGCATAACTATCCCTTCAGAAGAGTGATGTTGTCACCAGCAGGGGGTGGTTTCCAGTAAATAAAAACTTCCTCCTTCCGTCCCATCATTTCCAAGGCTTCCACACAATGAAAGGGATTACATGGGAGTCAGAAAAGCCACCGGGCAGAAGTAGGAAATTTGTTAATTACTGGAAGTCACTGCTCCTACTGATGTTGTTGCCTTTCCACAGACAGAGTTACAGCAACAGGATTTCAGCCAGCGGGACTTTCTCCAGAGTAGGTCTATCTGTGTGTGTCAGCCCCTGAAACTAACCTTCATGCAGTATCCCTCCTTCTTTTCTTCCTAGTGCCCTCCTCTACATGAACAGCGATTTTGATGGTGGCGAATTCATTTTCACCGAGATGGATGCCAAGACAGTTACGGTAAGCTAACCTCCTTAAGGAAGAAAGGAAGGAAGGAAGGAAGGTCATGATGGATAGAAGGAAGGAAGGAAGGAAGGAAGGAAGGAAGGAAGGAAGGAAGGAAGGAAGGAAGGAATGAAGGAAAGAGGAAGGAAGGAGATGATGGTGGAAGGAAGGAGGGAAGTAAGGAAGGAAGGAAGGAAGGAAGGAAGGAAGGAAGGAGTTGATGCTGGAAGGAAGGAAGGAAGGAAGGAAGGAAGGAAGGAAGGAAGGAAGGAAGGAAGGAAGGACAGATAGGGGGAAGGAAGGAAGGAAAGAGCTGATGATGAACAGAAGGAAGGAAGGAAGGAAGTCATGCTGGACAAAAGGAACGAAGGAAGGAAGGAGCTCATGATGGATAGAAGGAACGAAGGAAGGAAACTGGGTTGACTGTATAGTGAGGTGGGTTTTGTATTTGCAATTTATTTATTTTATTTATTTATTTCAGGAGGGCAGGTGGGAAGGAAGGAAGGAAAGAATTGATGAACAGAAGGAAGGAAGGAAGGAAGGAAGGAAGGAGCTGATGCTGGAAGGAAGGAAGGAAGGAGTTGATGCTGGAAGGAAGGAAGGAAGGAAGGAAAGAGCTGATGATGAACAGAAGGAAGGAAGGAAGGAAGGAAGGAAGGAAGGAAGGAAGTGATGCTGGACAAAAGGAACCAAGGAAGGAAGGAGCTCATGATGGATAGAAGGAACAAAGGAAGGAAACTGGGTTGACTATAGTGAGGTGGGTTTTGTATTTGAAATTTATTTATTTTATTTATTTATTTAGTTGCACACCCGGTGTTTGGCAGCCTTTCACATCACTGTGAAGATGCTGAGACTGTTGGTAGGATCAACCACAATTTGGGACCTTACATTTTAAAAGGAACTCATCATGTTATCCATTACTTCTCAGCAGCAGCCAAAGAGTTGTTGTTCACAGGAATGCACTGGCCGAGATCCAGGAGAGAGTCACAACTAAAGTAGCGCCCTTGAGTCAGTGGACCTTCCAGAGAAGTGGAGTCACCAAATCCCCACTGATTCAGTGGGCCTGCTCTGGTTACGACTCATTGCTGAACTTCAGCCAGTGTTGTGCCTCATTAAACCCTTGGCTGATATCCAGTCGTAAGTCAGAACTAGAGTAGACCTATCGAATCACTAGAGATTTGGTGAGTCAACTCTGACATAAGTCCCGTTGGTTCTATGGACCTGCTCTAGTTGCAACATAGAACTGGATTTCAGCCATCGTGGATTGGGTTCCACTCGCCCATTTAACCCACCGGCCTGGGAGGTTGTGAGTCGGGCTAATTGAGTATAAAATCCAGAGATGTGATAAGGCAGCCTGCTTTATACAGAAAGCCTGAGATCACAAAATAAAACGTCGCAACAGGATCTCCATAAAATTACACGGCCTCACCCTTAGCCTGTTGAATCAGTGGGGATTTGTTGAGTCAAACCCTCTGCAAGTTCTGCTGATTCAATAGGTCTACTCTAGTGGATGCTTACTAGAGGACTTCGGCCACTGAACAGTCACTACCAACTGAGCAGGAAAACATAGAGAAATACTCTCTGGTTTCCAATTCTAATATTGTATCTCAGGAATATTTCTAAACAGAAGAGAGAGGGAGGGAGGGAAGGGAATCCTTGTCTACCCTTAAAGGTTGTGGCCAAAATCTTGTCTCTTAACATAATAAATTGCACTAAACTAGGCCCATTGAATCAAAGAGGAATGAGCTCTTCCGTAGGTTCCACTGATTCAAATGGAACTACTCTAATAATAATCCTTGAACTGCAGAGCTGGAAGGGACTCTGTGAGATCATCCAGTCCAGCCCCTCTCAAGGAGGCCCCATGGGGGAATCGAACCCCCAACCTCCAGCTCTGCAGCCAGAGACCTCAACCCCACTGAGCTATCCAGCAGTTCTAGTTGTCACTGTGCTGAAGAAAGCTGTAGTTAGAGTAGGCCCTTTTGACTCAATGGAACATACAGAAGAGCTGACTGAAGGAATTCCCATTGATTCAGTGGGCCTACTCTTGTGCAATTTTGTATGATAAGCAATAGAGTGTTGTCCAATGTGTTATTCCTTATTCCTGTATTTTTCAACCCAGTAGCCTTGTTGGTTAGTCCTCATTACACCAAAAAAAGAGAGTAACTTCGCAGTTCATGGTTACATTACTCCTCGCCCGAAAGTAGTTGCAGGAACAACTTCACTTGTAACTAGGTACTTTGGACCTCTTGAGGTTTGTGGAACAGGGAAGGTTGCCGTTCCTGGGCCCGGATTCTTTGGTAGCCACTTCGGAAACTTGTCCATCAGAACATCCCACCAACTCACCCTGTTTCCCAAGAGGGCAGGGATCCAGTTTTCTAAACCACGTAAAGAGGAGAAATGCACGGGCTTTGAGAAAACCCTCCAAGTCTGAAATGAGCAAGGAGAGGTTCAATCCTGCCGTTACAGCTGTTCACGAGTAACGGTGCAGAGGAGCCCAGCAGGGCTGGCGCTGCAGAAGGCCACCCTGTTCTCTCTTAGGAAATTCGTCCCATCCATTTCAAGAGGTTGCCAGGGTACAGGGATCCAGCTGGCCAAATGATTCAAGCGGAGAAACCCCCCCAAAGACTCTTGAAGCCAAAGAGAGACTCCATGAAAAAAAATATATAACTTAATGGAGCTTAAAGAAGAGTTTTCCAGCCTTCTCCTTCCCCCTGCTGGCCGGATCTAGAAATAACAACCGAACTTACCAAGATGTGGAAAAATCTTGTGTAGTGCCTTAAAAATACTTTCTTTAAAAAATGTAAACGTCTTTAAGGTGCCATGTAATTTTTTCTCTTTTTTTCCACTTTTTTTTCTTTCTTTGGATTTGGCCTGATATGCTTGCGCAGAGTAACAAGGCTACCTCTTCTAAACCGACAACTTTCTAGAGGGTGGTTTATTTGCAATGTATGGGATGATTCTTTGCTGTCAGTCCTTGGAAGAAAAAAATGTAAGTGGAAGAAGTAGAAAGTTAGAGACAGACAGGAGGACTACACAGGGTTTAGCTCCAGGTACCGTAGGAGTCAATCTTCAGAGTGCTTCTGGCAACGGAAACAGCAGTAAATACCCAGATCTTAAACCCTGACACTATTGTTAATTTTTTTAAAAATGCGAGAATGTTCAACAGGTGAGAATCGGGGCCGTGAGAGGCTTGCCTCCGTGCCTGGACTTCCCCAAGATGCGTCGGGCAGCCGGATGCTCAAGTCTGGTGGGACAGTTTCTTCCTCCATTATCCCTGTGCTGTTGTTTTCTCGTCAGGCCTCCATAACACCGAAATGTGGGCGCATGATCAGCTTCTCTTCCGGCGGGGAAAACCCTCACGGCGTGAAGGCAGTGACCCGGGGCCAAAGGTGTGCGGTTGCCTTGTGGTTTACTCTCAACCCACTCTACCGGGAGCTGGTGAGTTGGAGCGTGATGGGGAGGATGCCGGCCGAGGGCATGTGGGGGAAGAGAGGTCCCCATAGCTCGGAGGGTCCCCTCCTCTGGGTGTGCATTTCCTCTCTGGTCAGGAAAAGGCGAGTCAGCCGACAGGTTGAAATCTGGAGACCCTGCAGGCTTATTTCCGCTGGCACCTGGAGGCAGGTGGAGGGCCATCCACACCTTTTGGGTTCAGGGATTTTCCATCCACGAAGAAGGGTGGCAGAAGATGTGGGAGGGCTGCAGATTGATGTCAACCATGCCGAGACTCTCCAAAAATATCTCCCAAAGGGGCACGGTAAAAGTGCCCTCTGGATACACCCAAAAAATGATCAAGAGACAAACGGCAAAGAACGGTTCACAAATTGGTGTTCTTGACTTCAAGCCAAGGCTGTGGCTAAGGGAACATAAGGAGCCTCGTAGCAGAGGGGTTGAAGCGCAGCATGACCGTGAAGACTCAGCTCGCGACTGGAGTTCAATCTCAGGCTCAAATAGCCCACTTGAGGTTCACTCAGCCTTCTATCCTTCCTAGGTTGCTCAAAAGAGTACCCAGCTCATTGGAGGCGAGGCGGTGTGTAGCGTGCATGACTAAATTGCAAAACCCCCAGAGAGTGATTTAAGTGTGGTGAGGTGGTAATACAGCCAGCGTACTTTGCTTTTTAGCACACATACAACGAAATTAAGTGCGGTGAGGTGGTAATACAGCCAGCGTACCTTGCTTTTTAGCACAAATGGTATTGCAGTGGTGCTGACACACACACACACACACACACACACACACACACACACACACACACACACACACACACACACACACACACACACACACACACACACACACACACACACACAC